TTCTTAATCAGAAGGATGGAAGGCTGAGTCAACCTTGAGCCGGTGAGATTTGAACCGCTGAACTGCGGATAGCAGTCAGCTGAAGTGGCCTGCAGTACTGCACCCTAACCACTGCGCCACCTCGGCTCTTTGACACCCGTGTGTTAGAATGTAGGTGACGTATCTTTTTCCAAAAAAAGGGGGGGGGAAACCACTTTTTTATACCCATCATTCTGATTAAGAAAATAATTCCATTATGCTTTGTTGCCTCTGTCAATTAAAATGAACGCTGTCTTTTGGAAAAGAGATGTCTATTTTTTTTTTGTCTTAGAAGAATGTATTTTTCATACTTTTTTTTCAGGTTACCTCAGCAACCTTTGATAGCTCAGGTAGATGATGATGATGATATTACCTGGGGAAGTGAGGAGTTGCCAATTGAATCAATAAACCAGCCACAGCCTGTTAAAGGTAGGTAGCTATTATTGTATTCTCTAAATGGATAACTGCTAAAACCCCAGCATTTGTCATGTTTTAATGTCAGTCAGTCCTGGAAACAGTTATATTGATAGTAACAAACTAGATTTCTAGTTGTAGAGTTTTCCAAAGAATAAATTTAGTCTTCACCTGGCAGTAGAATCCCCGAGGATTAATTTCTTTCATATTCAAGAATGATCCGGAACTCTCGTAGCTAGAAAGCTACCTTAAACCAACTATTGTCATCTTCAGAGATGTACAGAAGAAGACATACTCCAAAATATCTGCAAGATCAAGACGGAGAACTATGAAATGCTGAGACAAATTAAACTGGATTTGACGTACATTTAAATGTCGCCAATGACTCCGATCACTTTTCAAATATTTAATCTCTTTTCTTGTTTTCATGTTAAAAATTAGAATTTGTTGACAATTTGGAGGTCTCTGAGAATTCCTCCCAAGTTGTGACTTACTGCAGTCAGAAGTGTTTGGGCAGGTGGACTCTTCCCAGCCTACTGCTTGACCCTATAATGCATTGAGGCAGGAAAGATCTTCATGTCAAGTCTGTAATCCTTGTAATGGTTGCATGTGTGATCAATGTGTTGATGTGTCACTTGACAAGACTTGAGGCATGGAACGTTAAAAAACTGGAAGAAATGTAGGTCTACCTGTCTAGATTGCCACTGTCAATGAGAGGCAGACAATTATTGAAAGTCGAGATAATTTAGATAATTTAGTGACAATGTCCTATTTTTCTGGGCCACTTAATATAATATTGTCCTATTTTTCTGGGCCACTTAATATAATATTGTCCTATTTTTCTGGGCCACTTAATATAATATTGTCCTAT